CTGGACCACCCACCCACCCCCTTAGTCATGCCTAAGCCCAGTCTAGCAGGTCTCGTAATGCTCCGGTGCATAACGCTCTGGTGCATAATGCGAAAAAGGGACCACGCGCACACGCGCATGGAAGCAGAGGTGTCCCGGACCCCCACCCCCCCTCTTTAGTCACGCCTAAGCCCAGGCCGACAGGCCATGTACTGCCTATACGCGTAATATGAAAAAGGGACCACGCACACATGTGCATGGCACCAGAGGTGTCCCGGACCCCCACCCCCCTCTTTAGTCACGCCTAAGGCCAGGCCGATAGGCCATGTACCGCCCGCCCGTGTAATGTGAAAAAAAGTCCACGCACACACGCACATGGCACAGAGGTGTCCCAGACCCCCACCCCCCCTTCTTTAATCATGCCTATGCCCAGACCGACAGGCCGCGTACCGCCTGCACGTGTAACATGAAAAAAGGACCATGCGCACATGCGCATGGCACCAGAGGTGTCCCGGACCCCCCTCTCCCCCCTCTTTAGTCACACCGAAGCCCAGGCCGAAAGGCCACATACCGCCTATATGTGTAACGCGAAAAAGGGACCATGCGCAAATGCACATGGCACCAGAGGTGTCTGGCCGCTTTAATCACACCTAAGCCCAGGCCGACAGGCCGCATAATGTATGTGTGCATAACGCAAAAAAGGACCACGCACACACGGCGCATGGCACCAGAGGTGTCCTAGACCCCCTCCCCCCCCTACTCACACCCAAGCCTTCTTGTAATGCAAGAAACGCCCCATCGCACAGATAATGGCAGCGCTAATGTTTACTATGAAAAGGATTCCGACAATGTGATATACGGCCTGCATATGCTCCAAGATACGATTCATCCGCGTGCGCTCAACTCCCAGAACACTTCCCAGACCGTCAACCAACATCACCATGAGTCCACTGAAGATCTTTATGTATCTATCCACCATGCGGATCATATTCGCCATGGCAGCCACACATGCGAGTGCAACTCACGCTCCCATGCTCAAAGATGCACCCTCACCGCTGTCAGACATGGCAACACTCTTGAAACTGAACATACTCCCGCTCGACATCTCGCCACACCCTACGTCCGGCACCCCTTGTGCTTCCGCACTTCAAACAAGGGCACGCAAGGCTCCACACATGCAACTGGTCGACCACAATCGGTCCACGCACTCTTCAAGCTCCGAAATGTGCTTTCCAGTCCAACGGAGGGCCTCACACACCAAAATTAACCGGCTCTTGGGCTCACGGGCACTGAGAGGGGGCTTGAGAGAGATCGGGTGCCTTCGAGGGGCTTCGGGTCGGACTTGCGCATGGATTCAGGCGGCCGAGTTGCACACACACGCACTTAGGGGCCTTTGGAGATCTGCTATGCAGAATCCCCAACATCTTTTATTACAAATTCCGATGTTGTATACAAGGTTTTGTCTTTTCACATAATGCCTTACACGAGTCATGTTCCTATGCCAGACACTTTTGAAGTCCACTGTATCCCATGTCCATCCTTTCCTTTCCCTTTTAAACTCATCCCTATAAGGTGTCACCTCCTGGAATCGTACATGTACAACCTCACAGGGACTTCCCCCGATCAGCCCTTTGTCCAACATACCATCATTCCGCCCCGTCCACTCATCATGTTGCAGCTAGTACTGCGAGATCCCCCTATCACTTCATGTCCCTCAGCCGGGGCTCCTCGTAGGTGGCAGCGGCTTCCAGTCAGGTCCCTTCGTGCTCTAGCGATCACGCCATGCAGCAGGCCCTCAGTTCTCGTCATTGGGGCTGAACCCTGGCGGCAGTATGTGTGTTGACAATCCCCCATCAAATCCATGGGGAAGTACCGGTGTCAGAGGATCCTGATCGGAGTTGTCGCCCATCACATCTTCATCGGGTTTCCTCTTACGGAAACTCCGCTGCCATGAGCGCCGCTCGGCTCTGGCCTCCACGTCAGTCTTGGCGGGTCGTCCTACATTGATCTTGGCTGCCACTTCGCGGCATGCGGCATCGTAAGCAGCGCTGCGCCATACGTCCACATTAGGAGGCGTGTTGGTGGTGAAATCGTGGTACTCCCGAGGGAGCTCCACGTTGAAGTTTGATGGGAGCGTGTGGGCAAAGGCATGCCAGTTATGGCCACCTCCTTCCAGCCTCCACCCTCGCCGGTCAGCAAATGGTACTTCGATTTCCATGCGCACCTCAATCTCCCGTCGCTCAAAGTCGAATAGGCAGCCCTTTCACTCCAGCATCCGGGCTCCTTCCCTCTCCAGCATATCCCTGAATTGCATCTAAAAGGTAGAAACACTCATGCCGCTATACGGTTCTATTTCGTGGACCTTGACTTCCAGCTCCCACTCCTGATGGATGGCGCTGGGGTCGTACGCTTTGTTCTAGATCGAGTGGTCGCCCAACCCCAGAACATGGGTTCCATCCACTTGCATAAAAGCATTCCACAAATGCGCATCCTGCGCAAGCTCCTGAAGCTCAGCCCTTTCGCGGTCCTGCCACTGCTCACGCAAAATCCAGGGCGCATCCTCCTGATTGAAAGGGACCCTTACCGCTATGAGGAAAGCCCAGAATCCCACAGGCACATCTACTTCGCTCAACGCCCAGTGACACAGGCGGAGGTGACCAACTATGAGCCATTGGGCAATGAAGAACTTCCACGCCTCCATTTGGCGAAAGTGGCTGGCTGTCATGGTGCACAGGGGCTTCGCAACACAGTGGTTGGGAACTGGTGGTCATAAGGTTGGTGTGCAATGCCAGCTCCGACCTATATATAGCTTCTTGGACTATGCGCTGATGTTGGACAGGCCTTGGATCTGACACAACGCTGACTTTGACTCCAGCTATGCATACAGCTATCGATATGTGATGGAGACTTCCTCCAGCACGGGTGGATCGTCAGACGAATCACTGGGAAGATCTTTGGCGGCTGTATTTGTGCATGGTTGTATTGGTTCTTCCTTGTAATCCTTCCGAATGACTTCAGTACGTTTTTGTACATTCCATACATGCCAAACTCTAGTAGCTATTGATGTTATTATTGCCTCCTTGCCCAGAACGCTTATCTTTGCTTTTATAACATTATTGCTTGGAGTAGTCATCACTATTTTGGCGGCTCATCATCTGTAGCGGCACCCATTCTTGATTCTCTCCAAATGTCATCTTGTGAGGTTGAAATTGGTTGCCGTAATCTATCTCGTGCAGTTTAATGAAATTGATGAAGTCATTTGCCACTTGATAATTGACTGGAAATGACCAACTTTAGCACCAACTAAATAACAATCACTGCAATAGCGTTCACCTCCTGTCCACATTGTCTCCATATACATTCACCATAACACCATACCCACCATATTTACTTCCTCCCATAAAAACATCACATATCACACATCATATATTAAACAATCCCTCGCCCTCACAATCGTAGAGGACAATTATTCTTGGTTGGAGGAAGTACAATTACTGGCCATTGTACATTATTCCAGTATACACAACTCCGGCAGCTTGCCGAGCCTCCCGTACGATGCTAATGTACAATGAGCCCCTCACATTATGAATACTACCTAGGGGTGGGGGTTAGGGTAGTTTGGCATTGGGGATATTGTCTGTTTGCCCTGTTTGATGGCAAATGGACCGACTTTTATTTAGCTTCAATTCTCAACCAATAGTTTGGGTGGGAATTGACGTGCATTTCCATTGTTTTTGTTTGGCTTTGGGTGTATGTTGTGCTGCCTATTTGGGAGACCGGACGGGTTGAGTTTGGGGAAGTGGGCCTTTCTAGCACCCTTTTCTTTCTTGTTTTCTTTGTCTGATTGGTGAACAGCTTGGACCCTTTGCTCTTACATTGGGAACGCTCTGTTGGGCCCGCATAGTTATTCTTGTTGTACCCTTTGTATGCCTGTCCCGGGGCTCCTATGAGAGCGCTGCAAAGCAGAAATGCAGGGTTAAGATGCCTCAATATTCTGTGTAATGACGATATTCTTCGACACATACCCACCCACCCGCCTACCCCACACACACGCACACCCGCACGCACGCACGCATGCATGCACACACTCCACGACAAAGAGGACGTAACCACAGGGTGCTATATGCACATTATGATAGTTTGGCACAACCAAGATATTGAGTTGGCTGCAGCATAGACAGTGACCTGCAGTTCAATGCTATATTGCTATAATCACCACCACTGCTTCATACATTCAAACGACCACCACAACTTCTAATCTACTCCCTTCCCATGCAGTTACAATCTGTATATGCACAAACGACACATTCACACTTTAACGTTCCACAATCGAGACGGTGGCAGTCACATCCAAGCAGTACACGTCAAAGAATGACCTTCTCTAGGACCCTGCAAGACGTTCGACTAGCTGGCAGCGCAGGTATGGCAAGAAGCAGAATAGTGTATGCAACAACAATAGGTATGGCTCAACCCAACCTGCACACTACGGCTGACGCTGTGCTGCAGCACGTGCCAACAAGCAGGTGCTCAACAGCTATGAGACACACAATATCGTCACTAACGAACATCGTCTGCAACCTACCCACTGAATCCCTTGCACTCCATTCTGCATTTCCAACTGCCAAAAAATTCTGGCGCCTTTGCCTGCAAAGAAGCTCAGCACAGTTGGCACGGGGACTACAAACAGTTTATTCGATGGCTTGAGGCGTTTCATCATGACTGTGATCTAACATGCCAGGTCCATTATGGTTGCCGTTTATGGGCCCATGTGATTCTCCAGTCGATGCTTCTACAAACTGTCGCAAATCCCAGAATATTACAAACCTTGTTTTCAGAAGCTTGATGCTGGCATCACACAGCACAGCAACTTGAACACTGTGGTTCCTGCTACTGGCCAAATCAACATCCCTTCCTCCCCCACTTGCCTACCATCGCATTGAAGGTGCCAGTGCAGCAAACGTCACTCTTAGAAAGTGACGACCGGTCCCACCCACCCAGATACAATTAAGCAGCATCCCGCATCAGAAACCACGGTTCGCATTCCATCCACTGCGGCCACTGAAAGCATCTGGAGCATACCCTCCGCTGCGTGTGTAGTAGCCATGCTGGTTCTGAAATCCAGCACGCTGGCTCTGCCTGTAGGTGTTGTTTCTGGCATATCCGAAAATTGGCCCATCATGCCTGCTGCGATTGCCCGCTGTGTTATAACCCCTGCGCACCTGCAATGCACAACAGAAGGGCAATCGCTGTCAATAAGTCCTGTGTGCACTCAAGTGACCACCATCGATTCATTGGCGCTCCCCAACAGAACGCCATATTTAGGTGCTGCATCCACACAATAGGGCGCTGCGACGGGCCCGCTCCATGCCAGCACATTTCCAGCATCTCTTCTGATTTTGATTTTGATGATTTTGATGAGCATACCTCTGGCGCCATACAGCCCATATCGCACTGCTGCTCACAGATTGTCAACATTTATCTTAGGAACTTGTACACTACAGGATCAGTGCCAGGAAATACTGAACTTCCAGAACAATGAAGGGACCCCACACCACAGAGCACATAGTCTCAATCGTGACTGCATGGGACAAATCGTGCATTTTCAGTCAAACGACACAGTCATCAGGTATAGGGAGCAAAATATGTCCATCGCGCTAGTCAATTTCCTCCACCAAAAGGGTGCCTTGTACTCTATCAGCCATGCAGTGAACATTGCCACAAGAAGGTTCAAGTAGCAGGCACCTGCAACCCACTGGCAGGTCCATTGAGTGCATATCAAGCAACAACGCAGCCTTACTGCCAATCGCAGCACACCTCATCGCCAAAGAGCTCACGCTCCAACTTCTTGTGCTTTAGGTCATTGGTTATCGCATCATTGGCCTCATTGATCAGCTTGAACAGCCAGCTAGCTTCCTCCTTGATGGTATCCAGGACTTTGCTCTCTCCCAGAACCTTCACACCGCTGGGGCCAAACCTCAAACTGTAAGGGCAATTCAGAGCTGCCTTGTCAGGGTGGAGCCTGACAGCCAGCTGCCTGTAGGCCTTCTTGAGCTCATCCATCTTGCAAGTTGCCTGGAGGCCCAGCAGCTTGAAGTGGTCCGGTGTGGGGTCTTTCACTGCTGACACCTGCGCTTCGGCTAGTCGCCGCATGAGATCCCTAACTTCGCTGTGGTCCACGTTGCCAAAGTCAATGACTCTCTGCAGCACATCCACTGCTGCCTGGGGCCGCACGATTTCCAGCAGTAGAGTTGCGAGCCTGACCTGGGCTCTGACAAACGTCGTGTCCAAAGCCCGCGCCCTACAGCAGAACACAGAGTTGCATGTAAGTGGCCCAGAGTTGGGGACAGTGCTGCAGTCAGCACCTGGCGACAGGGGCCCTTCAAACATTCCAAACACAACCACCCACCCCATGGCCACAGGGATCCCAACTCCCAGCTGCAGCAACACATGGGCAAAGTAACAATCTCCACATCCATTGCAAGTCTAGATGTGATGCACAGTAACAGGTGGGCCAGGTTGACTTACATGCAGCAGTCTGCGATGGCCTCTGCATAGGCTCCAGCTCCTTGGTGGGCAGCTGCTCGATTAGACAGCAAAATGGCCAAAAAACGACCAGATACAGCTCCCTGCTTACAGGTAGTCAGCGCCTTGGCATACAGCTCTATTGCCTTCTTGAAGTTTTTATTCCGGTACCACTCATTTCCTTCCAGCTTTAGCTGGTTCGCATCAGCTTCGACCTTGGCGATGTCCTTCAGCTCTTGCAGGTTGGGTCTGATCGTAAATCCAGTCGGGCAGGCCATCGCCTCCTCGGGTTGCTGTTCAAGAGTTGATATGAGCTCAGTCAACCTCCGAGACACTTCATCCTGTTTCCCATCGTGGAACCATGCCTGGAGTGCTATCCACTGCCACCAGAGCGTCCTGGGAGGACGAATATCCAGAGACTTGCAAACACAGTCCAAGATGGGCGTTACCCGCCCATGGTCGCCAACGCGCAGGAGGCACAGCACCTTTAGGGCCCACATCTCCTCGCTGTGGCTCAATTCCTTCTCCATGCCCTCCAACTCCTGCAAGCCACCCCGGAGCCCTGCCTCTAAGACCTCGCCCTGCATCAGGTGGCTTTTCACACGCTGAAACTGCGACTCTAACTGCTCGACTTCAGTCAGCTTGGGTGCGACCTCCAGGTACTGGCCACAGTTCGATGGCACATTCAGCTTTGCACTCCCCAACATCTCCTTTGCAGCGGCAAAGTTGCCGAGACGCAGCTGGCAGGTCGTGCCCCGGATGTAGGCACGGGCATAAGTCTTGTCCACCTCCAGGGCACATTGGCAATCTTTTAGGGCTCTCTTGGGACTGCTGGTCATCAGCCATGCTGCAGCTCGATTGCAGAAGAGGGGTGCCAGATGCACACACTTTGGAAGACTCTTGAGCAGGTCCAGAGCTTGGGTGTATTGAGCCTCCGCCTCAACATACTTCGCTTTTGAAAAAAAGTCGTTGCCCCTCCTCTTGTGTGCTTCCCCTGCCTGCAGAATTTGCTCCTCTGACTGGGGACCACCAGGGGCCTGTTGACCAAACACAGCAAAATTCAGTATTCAGAATTGAACATGCACAGCACGCAGAATACTGGGAAAACCTTTCTGCTGCCTGGCATGTACCCTATCCAGCAGCTGTGGCCTCTATTCCCAGTCGACACAAGGGACAGATTCCTGCACCAACAGGAGCACAACATCTAACACCAAAAATGATAAACAGAGGGCTGTCACTATAAACTGATGAGCCACAAGCCATTCCTTTGACTCACTGTGCTTGAGGCGCCTGCCTGATTCTGGTTGGGCAGCTGGTTCTTCAATTGCTGCCGCCCTTTCTTTGCCCTCAAGCACTTTCTCTGGCTTGACATGGGTGATTCTTGACCAACACCTGAAGACACCAAATTGCTAGAAGGCCACTCCATCCTCCCCATGCCCTGGAATGAGGGTCGGGAGAGGTCAGCAGAAGGCCAGGAGCTTGCAGGCTCTTCTGATACCCCTCTGCAAGACGCCGAGCTCATCTCACCAAATTTATTGCCACTCTTTTTGTCTCTAGGCGTCCACAGCATTTCAGTCAAAGGGTGCACCAGGGGCTCAGTGGCGCGCTTCGGATGCATGCGGTCTTGTGCCTTGCCAGGGTCATCTGTCTGCACACCAACGGGGGTGCACAAAGACATCGGGCAGTCAAAAGGCACACCACTGGATGTCCCCTGGGATGGGTTTTGCCAGATGCGACCTTGAGTCTCTTCTGCCATCATGGACATGGGTGTTGCACAATTTGCGGCATTGCCACTGGGAAACACAGACATGGGGGTGTCAGCCATTGGCTTCTCTTGTAAAGAGGGCTGTGGCATCTGTGTAGACATAGGAGTGGGTCCTCCCAGCCAGTTCTGCTTCCCCTTCTCATCTCTTGGAAGAACAGGCGTTTGAGCTGGTGACCACATCATGGGCGTCACCTTCGCAGCTAAGGGCACAGTGCTGGGGCACTCCACCTGCCCTCCTGGTGTGGATTTCCTCCTTCGGGCACGCAGCCTTGCCCCATCAGACGATCCCGGCGTCATGCTGGTGGCCCTTGTCTGTTTCCTGCCAGCAACGGTAGGTGCTGTGTTGGCACCCCCCTTGAACATGAATATGGAGTTCTGGCCTCGCCCATGATCGCTTGTATGATTGCTGTCTACTCCAGCCCAGGACTGTATGTCAGGGAAACGACCTGGTGCAGAGTTGCCACGAGTTTCAGTGTGCGATGATGAAGAAGCGGCATTGCAAAAAGTCCCTGAAAAACCTCCCGATCTGCCGATGCCAGTGCTTTCACCAGCCTGAAAGAAAAGTGACGACTTGGGGCCACCAGCCACAAACTGAGGTGCCTCGCTGTCCTCTGCCACCCTGCTGCCCTCAGACTTTGGGGCCACCTTTCTACCTGCCAACCTCCCTGCAGCCGTGGGCCCTGTGCCCTGCTGGGCGCCTTCTGCTGACCCAAACACGAACTTGTACACCCCATTGTAGATCCTTGACGTCAGTGAAGGTGCGGCATCCTTCACCTCCACCTCTGACGGGGCCTCGTTGGCCAAGGGCGTTGGGCTGGGCCCCCTTGCCTGGCCCCAGCCGGTTGCCCGATTCTCCTGATGCTGGGCGCCCACAGAATCGCCGGGCGCTCGGTGGGGGAGGTCCATCCCACGTTCTGCAGGTGGGCTCCCAGCTTCGCTTCCGCTCCACCTGTTCTGCGCATCCCCCGGGTATTTCAACTTCTGCCTCTTCCCAAAATGCTCGCACCCAAACTCCCCCGCCTTCTCGTCACCCTCCGGGCCACCCCCCGCGCCCTCCCCCGGGTGCCTGCGCCCGTCGCCCTCCACCTGCGCCCCGCCCATCGCCGGCCCCTTGGACCCCCCCTCGCCGCACGGGGCGCTGCCCAGGCTGAGCAGGCTCTCCACGTTGTGCGACAGGTCCAGTCCCTCCGCCGTTAGCTCCCCAATCTCCAGCTCCCCGAGGTGGTCCGCCAGGATGTTCATCCTCGGCGCGGGCGCCTTGCGGACGCGGGCCACCTCCAGGCTGGGCGGCTTGCCGCCCCCCAGGCCACCCAGGCTGAACCACCCCCTCCCCGTCCCGCCCGCCGGCGGCTGCACCGGCGCGAACATGTCCGCGGCGCCGCTCATGTCGCTCTCCTCGCCCTGCTCCTCCGCCATCGACGTCGTGGGCGACGGCGGGCCAATGTCCACTGGGGGCCTGTACTCGGGCTGCTCGCGTCCGTTGCGCAGCGGCGCCGGCGTGTACATTATCGGCCGGTCCAGCCCCCCACCCATCTTCGGATCCCCGCCGCCGCGGCGCCCGTGTCCCCTGGAGCTCGGCAGCGAGAACGAGGCCCCACTCTCGCCCCCCTCCCTCGGCCCGTCCGGGGCATCCGACCGCGACTTGGCTGCGAATGCGCCGCCCCCGTGGCCGGGAGACGTGCTGAAGGCGAACAGCTTGGGCCCCGCGCCCTCCCGCGGCCGAGACGCCCAACCAGACTCGAAATCTGACTTCACCACGCCAGGCGCGCCCGCCACCCGCCCTTTGGACGTCGAGGGGCAGTCCCGCTGCGCCGCGCCGAGGCCCGCACCCGCCCAACAGGGCCCGCTGCCCGTCTCCGGTCCCCCCTTCTGCCACGATCCGCCCCTCTTGGCCACCAGGGTGGCCTTCTTGCGCCGATGCCTCTGATCGTGCCCGTCGCCGTCGACCGAGGAGGACTGACCGAAGGGGCCTGGGCTGCGCGAGCTGACGCCGGAGCCATTCGCCCCCTCTCCAATCGCAAGGCCCCATTCAAACCCGCCGGATGTTCCCGCGGGAGCGCTGGGGGTATTTTCATGCCCCTCTCTGTGCAGGCACTTCTGCACCTTGTCCTTCTGCTTGGGCCCCTCCCCCCACATTTCCGGCTGCATTTAGCGGGCGCCGACGCCCCCGCAGCCCAAGCCCGAGGAAGGCAGCAAGGGGCAGCCCGGCCAAGGGCCGAGGGCCAGTGGCTGCTGGGCCCTGCCTGGGCGCTGGCGGTCCAAATGGGCCAAACTGTGCTGACTGCGAACTCGCAGCGGTGGTAAGCAACACGGTGTAGCCGCAGGCAGCGGGAATGCTCACGCTATCCGTCCCTCATTGGGTAGTAGTTTTACGAAATGACTGAGTGTCCTCTGTACAGCCTCCCATTCCGTGGCAACCAGTCTTTGTCCCCATCAGGGTGTGTGTGTGTGTGTTTGTGTCGCGATGTTCATTACACAGAATATCGAGGCATTCCAACCCTGCGTTTCCGCCTTTGGAGCGCTCTCGCAGGAGCCCCGGGACAACAATACAAAAAGTACATCAAGAATAGTTGTGCGTGTCCATCAAAGCGTTCCCAATGTGAAAGCATAGGGTCCATACTGGTCATTGAGCAGACAGCAAAGAAAAACAAGAAAAAGAGAATTGTACCATAAAGCCCATTTTCTCAAACACCAACCCGGCCGTTCTCCCAAACAGGCACCACCACACACACCCCAAGATAAACAAGAACAAGAAAATGTCATGTCAATTCCCACCCAAACTATTGGGTGAGAACCGAATCCGAATAAAATTCGGCCCATTTGCCCTCCAACAGGGCAAACAGACGGTACCCCCGTTGCCAAACTACCCTAACCCCCACCCCTAGGTAGTATTCGTAGGCCCCCCTCAGGTGCCGCTTCCACTCCAATTGGGCGGCGGACAGGTCGTGGTACTAGACATGGCTGTTCAGCTTTTTTGCTGTGAATTTACTTCTGTAATTTTTTTGAACACAAACAATCCGTCTGTCGATTTTCCATTATTTTGCCAGGGCCGGGTTCCCGTAGCCGTTCATGCCACGTTAGCTTTCATTTTTTTTGCTTTGGAGTTGTCCGCTAAGGGGGCATTTGCAGCCACCGGTTTTTGTAGAAGTGTTTTTTTGTCTGTTGCCTTTCCTCGCATTCCGTTGCCATCTGTCACGGACTTTGAGATTCCGGTAGTGTTCCGTTGGTCAACGGCAGTTTCTGTTGGAGGCCATTTTTGCCAAGCGGATTTTTTTTTTCTGTGTCCAGCAACTTTTGCCACTAGATACAGGCCATAGCAGTGACATAACGAGGTGCAATATTAATACATGTATAAACAACGTATGTCTACCTATTTGCAGTCCATGCTGTCATAAATATTGCCTCGGCCGGTGCTCCTTACCAGACCGGGGACGCAACCCGCTATTCTTTCCCAGCCATCCCTTGCAAATGCTAGACTACGTACATAAACACACCCTGGGCCCAAAGGCAATCCCCCGCTGCATTTTCCCGGCCAACCCATGGCCGGTACTCCTTGCCAGACAGGGGACGCAACCCGTTGTTCTTTCCCGGCCATCCCTTGCAAATGCTAAACCATGTATATAAACACACCCTGGGCCCCACGGCAATCCCCCACTGTGTCTTCATGGCCAACCCATGGCCGGTACTCGCTACGGTAATGAATGGCTAGTAATCCTTTGCCAAATGCAAACGTTCGCTCGCAGCAACTATAACAAAATTCATCATGGTTCGTCATCTGATGCCTTGGACTTTGATGTGGTTTTCAATGACATCTTGGACTTCCTGTGCGCACTTGAATGCCTCCATATCCTGGTGCGTGCTCCCATGCTTTTTCTATGCTTTTTTTTGTTGCGCGGCGGTCTTCCCACCCTTGGCGCTACATGTACCATCCCACCAACGACCCTCTACATACACAAAAAAAGCATACCTTTATCCCTGCTCTAGACTTCGCCAATGGGTTCAGCAAGAATGAAGATGAACAAATAGATATGCAAGAGGACAGGTAAGGATGTGCCACCTCACCTATCGGCATTAGCAGGGGTCATGACCATCCTTTTTGTGGCCACCACCAAGCCGGCTTTTGAAAAACTCCCCTCTGATGATGCGGGGGATGCCTGCACATGAAAAAGCATGGCGTCAACCCCAATACAGTGCCCCCGAACTGGAATGGGCCAATGTGCCTAACAACAATGAAGATGGACAAACAAATATGCAAGGAGACAATCAGGGACGCGCCACCTCACCCGCATGGCCAGCACCCTCCGTGCCAATTTTGCAATCAGAGGAAACCTCAACTCATTGCTGTGCCACCAGTCTTCTGCCGACCAGCGTTTTTGTAGACCTTTTGGTTACCAAGTATACTCAAACCACTCTGTGACGGCTATCTCGATGTTGTCAGGGAATGTTGGCAGATTGGGATTATGCTTCCTAAATAACGTTCTTCTTGTTGGGCGCAACTCCCCCCTATCCCTTGGGTCAGTGGCCTCGTCCAACCAACTCACATGTTTGGGACTGACATCGGGCTCCTTGTCACTATTAGAAAGTGGAGCCGTGGTGTCCAGAATCGCAGTGGGGCCATTCACATGGGCGTCCAACTGCAAATTCAACATATGCATGCATTTGAACATGAAAACAAGACAATTTCTATACCGGCCATAAGGCTGGTACCCTATAGTGCCTGAACTGCAAATCAACAAAATACTTGTATTTTGGCATACAACCAAGCAAACTTCTATCCCGGCCTGGTGGCCGGTACCCCGAAGTGCCACTTGTACACCATCACATTTTCATCATCACAATAGGCATACTCCATTACTACAAACATGTTGCATTATGTGTGCCACTCACCAGTTTGGAAACTTCTAATATGAGCATGTTAATAAGACTCTTGAATGTCGGGTACTCCTCTGTGACCATAGGCCAATCACTTTTATTATCCCATATTCTTTGCATCCACTGTAGATGGCACCTCCTACCATTCATTACTGTTGCAAGACCCCATGAGTACACCCACATTGGATCGTCTATTATGTTGAGCAATTTTGACTTGAAAGCCGTCCGTCGCAAAGATGTAGTCCGCATCACTGCCCGCCGTACTATCGTCCACTGTGCCCACTTTGTCGTATATCAACTTCAACAGGAAGTATAAAGTATGTGAAATAGTCACGTACTGATCGCCTTCAAGGTGCTTGGAGACTTCTCTGATGGGTTCCAAAACGCCCCGCAACTGCCGTAACCCCATCCACACATGGCGCTCAAATATATAGCTGGCGTCCTTCTCTTCCTCCTCTCCCTCTTGTCCTCCTTGCTTCCCCTTAGCTCTTTTTTTCTTCTCTTTCTCTGCAGCGATCTCCACTTTCTTGGAGGTCATATATTTGCAAATCGATTGCTCAAGCAGCAACACATGTCGGATAAGAAAATACACCAAATTCCTGCGTGTCGGGCACCATCCGCTCATATGCAACACCCGTCTTGGGAGCGGGGTCCCATCCATTGACCACGCCAATTCATCGGAGAGGTACCCCAGGCCATCCTTGTCATTTACGGTGTCATTCCCCACTTGCTCATCAGAGCACGAAACACTTACAGTGTTGTCATCGGACGCACCATGATCACCAAAATTCTGCTGCAAAAACACACGTTGTAGCCTCTCTAATTCTGTCTGGACCAATGGGGACCTCCGCACATGCAAAGAGAATGCCTGTATTAGAGTAGTTACAGACTCCACCTCCGCCAACGCATATTGGACAACTGTGTTCAACACATGGCACACACACGGGTGCCAATCGAATAGAGTTTCATCTTGGGCCCCGTTAATCATGGCCCTATCCCTGTCGGTCATGATGGCGGGGCGCTCGTGATCAAGTTCGTTGCGGAACGCTGCGAGGAGGTTTCTTCTCATCTCATCCTTTTGTGTCTTGTATAAAGCCACCACCGTTGGTGGTAGGCCAAAATCCAGTCGTGTGTGGAGAAGCTTGTCGCGAATGGACGCGTGGTTGTGATGCCCAGGAAAGCTAGATGTGCCTTGAAAAAGTGCTGCCCAATATGCCATTGAGCTATTTTCCATTCTTCAATTGACTCAATTGGCAAATTATTAATGCATAGCTCAGGCCCTTCCCAGTAGCGATCGCCGCCGATATTTGGCTGCAGGCAGCACACACACAGGACACATCATTATGGCGTACTATAAATCATAAGTGTAGGCCCTTCCCGGCAGCGATCACCGTCGGTACTCGGCCGCAGGCACCACACACAGGACACATCATCACAAAATATTAGAAATCATAAGTGCAGGCCCTTCCTGGCAGCGATCGCCACCGGTACTCGGCCGCAGGTAGGACACACACAGGACACATCATCACGGCATACTAGAAATCATAAGTGTAGGCCCTTTGCAGCAGTGATCACCGCCGGTACCTGGCCGCAGGCACCATACACAGGACACATCATCACAACGTACTAGAAATCACAAGCACAACCCCTTCCCGGCAGCGATCGCCGCCAGTACTTGGCTGCAGGCAGCACACACACAGGACACATTATCATGGCATACTAGAAATCATAAGTGCAGGCCCTTCCCGGTGGCGATCGCTGCCGGTACTCGGCCGTAGGCAGCACACACACAGGACACATCATTATGGCGTGTCATTCATCATAAGTGCAGGCCCTTCCCGGCAGCAATCGCCGCCGGTACTCAGCCGCATGAGCACACACGACACATCATCACGGCATCATACGTCGTGTCCTGTACCCTGGGTGCATGCAACAGGTTAACCCGGCGGTATTTAAAATAATCCACCGTCAGTCAAGCCAGGCCTGCCCACAGTACAGCCCAAAGCACAGCAGCAGCCCGCAACGCATCGACAGGCCCACTGCCACGTTGGCATTCAAACACACCCTTTTTGCATAGTGGCAAACCTTGCGGCGCCGGCTGCACACCTCTCGGACAAAGGGTAAAATTCCGACGTTGGCGCGCTGCGAGGTTTCGAGGCGTCGGCAGCGAAGTGGGTAGCAGGGCGCAAGCCAAACAAGCACAGGTCGCGAATGCACCGATCGCGAATGTGATTGGGCCCTGCCTATGACAAACCCACTGATGGAGCCAATAGGAC